GACTGTGACACTGCTCAGAACTAATGAGTTTAGTTATTTGTTCTCCAGCTTAGCGAGACTTTGGAAAAATATGTCTTTCTTTAAATGACAGATCACTTTTAGGCACATAACAATGTGTGTATACATTTTTGTATGAGAAATTGACTTGAGCTGTAAACTTTCACCTAAAGCCCAAAAAAGCCAAACAAAAAACAAAAAATGATCTCTTAGTTTATTTATTATATTCAAGAAAAAAATAGGACACTTTTAGCGACACTGGTTAACTGGAGGCATTTGAATTTCAGGATGGAACTGAAATGCTCTTGGGGTACTGAGTGGATCAAGTTATTAGCAAAAAGCAAATCTAAGGACATGTTTTAAGTATTTCAGCCACAATTTGAGTTTTATTGACTAACATTTCACTGGGCAAGTAAGTGGGAAATAGAGTATTTATGATTCTTAGCATTCAGAACATTGTAAGTCAAACTCAGTGATACATGTTTAGCATTTTGTCTATGATTCTCTTAACCTTGAAGGTTGCTGAGATGAGACTGATTTCCTATAGAGAGAAAAAATTCCAGTTCCAAGTAGAGACTTTACTCTTGGGATTGGGAAAGACAGCCCTGAAGGAGTTTCGCTGTTTAGAATCAGCAGCTGCCATGTGGGCATCGAATTTACTTGCCCAGTGTCTCTTGGTTAATAAGCATGGGACAAGATTCAAACCCAAGTCCGTCTCACTCCAAGCACTTTTTTTTCCCATCACGTTCTGATTTGATATGTAAGCACAATTTTATTCAGGCTTATGAAAAAATGCTAATTCTCAAATAGCTATTTTTTAGGTGAGGTTAGATGTTTTTCTATAACAAAGAGGCACCCTATTTTTCTGGATCTTGAGGGAAGAAGAGTTAGTCATTGATGTAAATGCCTATTTTTGTCTTGGCTTTTTCTTGAGCTCATCCTTTCCTGGATAATGAACTTGATCCCATGGCTGTGGATCTCTGTTGCTCTTCTCTGCTCATTGAGTAACGTTCACGTCTCAGGCACTCAAAGAGCTCTATCGCTGATAGACTCATGTACTATGCATTTCTCTGTAGAGTGTGACAAAGCATCATTTGTATTTATATCCAGCTTTGCACTTTAGTTAAATATTGCATCCCACTCTGCTCTATTTTAAAGCAGCCTATCCTCAAAGAGGAAACTTCTGTTCTTTTCTACTTAAGCACGTGAAACCTACTTGCTATGCAAGAACTCAAAGCATTATGTTTACAAAAGTGGGGAAGGACAGAGTTATTGCCCCCTTTAGTTACTTTGTCTTTGTCCATCCCCACTCCTGAAGAAGAGTTTATGTTATGAAAGACAAAAAAACATTAGCAAATGTTTCCCAGTAAATGCTGAATTCTAAACGTGGAGCTCAGTTTCTAAGGATGATGACACAATGAAGTTGGAAGTCTAAGAGGACGGAGGGAGAGAGATACAGAGCAATGGAAATAGGGAATGAAATGGGGCACCCATGTAAACGGACCCAGAAAAACTACAAAGGCAACCCTCAGGGATAAATAAGAAATGCTTTGCATCATCCTGGGAACTCTGAGTGTCTTAGTGATTGGTCTTATGATTGGATCTTAGTGATGATAGACTGAGTCAGTCATGCCAGGGTGTACCATATGAGAATGTGTCTTTGTAGAACATGCCAACGTCACTGAAGCAAAGAGACTAGGAATTTCTTTAAGATCTAGGTCTTGGTTGCATATCTGGCCCCAACTTTTTCCTCTGATCACCTTGTCCACTGTATTCCATACTAAAAGAATTCAGGAACCCAAAAGGACCATGTTCTCTTACATCTCATTGCTTTGTACTTGATTTTCCCTCCACTAGCAAAGGAACCATCACTTCTCTCTATCCCATTATGTCTAACTTACTCTTACTCATTTTGAATATTATTAAGTCACAGTTTTGAAATTGTTTCTTCACAAAACCTTCTCTGAACATCTTTGCTCATAAAAAATGAGTCCGAGGTCCTATTTGTTTATTTCCTGAAATTCCTGTGATTATCTATAATATAGCGCCCATCACTGGATTTTACTTGGTTGTATAACTATTTGTCCATATTCTTCACTAGACTGAAAACTCCTTGAAATCAGGGACCATATTTTCTTTATATAGTAGTGACATCTCCTATTATAATACCGGGCACTAGCAGATAATCAATATATATCAAATGAATAATTAGGTTCCTGGAACCTAATTTTTAAATAATAGAGTTAAAACAATAGAAACTGCATTGTATAAAATAAACACTTACTGTGCTATAAAAGGTAATGAAACCCATGGTACTGCTTTGTTCTCTAGCCTTAGGTTGATTGGAAGAAGGTAAAGAAAGCAACATAATTGCTCAGAAACCAAACAGCCTCTTTGGAAAGTGTTCAACCATGGCATTCCCCCTGCACACACCCTTGTGTGGGAGAATTTATTCCTGTATTGAACTTCCTGGGAAAGAGGAAAGGTGTCGAACCAAGCTGAATTCTTTATAAATTGTGTACTTGCCCAGAGGAGAGCAGACTTTTCCTCTTATAAGGACCCTTCCTTAGTGTTTTTATCCCAGGAAATCCAGACTAATCTGAGGACCTATAATGACTAGCAAGATGGATAGAGTGAGAAATCTTGCAGAGTCTTACCAAGGTGGCTTATTGTCCTCGTGTCCCAAAGAATAGTCTTTTCAGCTCTTCTTTGTGAATGTGATTTTACACCAACTCATCAGTGAGTAAGTGTTTTGAAACACCAGCTCCATCATTACATAGATGTGTGATCTTGGAGTTTCCTCTTCTTAAAATAAGGACATTAGTACTTACCCTATTTTTTGTGAGGGTTAATTTACACACATAAACACATCCACAAGTATCCCTGAAATGAAGTAAATCAAAGTGATATTTAAGAAGTTATCATGGGGTCACTACACAAATATCTCAGCAAAAGAAATGTTTTTCCCCAAACCACAAACATCCACGTTTTAAAGCATCATAACTCTTGGTCTACTTGTTAATCATTTATTGTTAAATAATTTCAGAGTTAAATCTGATAGAAATATTTAACTATTTAGTCAGTTCCTCAAGTATTCTGGAATTCTATAGCTATTTTAAGACTTCCATACACCAAAATTTTAATTTGAAAGGGCAGCTTCTATTCTAAAACAATCAAATTTTATCTGGAGCTCTAATTTGAGCAAACCATAACTTGAACTGAACTTAAACTATTACATGCTGTAATCTGACTCAACTTGGTATTTTGGAAACCAATCTTTCATGAAGAATGCCGCTCAGGCAAATGAGATTGCAGGAAATAATTGTTGGTCGAACATCTTTGAAGTTTGGAAAATAAGAAATAAAAGCCATAGCTCTTGGAGTAGATGAGTATTCACTAGTTTTAAATTTAAACCAGGAAGTGTACAAATATTTGCTTTATGAGATAGGTGAGTGTTATCAAACCCATTTCACAGATATAGAAACAGAAACTCAGAAAGATTATAAGGCACACAAAAGTGTCCTTAAACAGTGTTCCTATCTGGAATGTCTGTTCCCCTTCATCTCCCTCTATTGAAGTCTCCGATATTTCAACAACCTGCTCAAATTGCATGTGGAAGATTCTGCCCTTATGCCCTGGGTTGGAATTAATATTTCAGTAGCACTTGTCTACTCTGTGACATAGTCAGGTCCTGAGATGGCTTTCTTCTTCTGATAGATCAAACTCTTTGAGAACAAGTACTTAGTTAGTCTTACCCACCTCTAGATCCTACACATTACTCACAAAGTTACTCAATATTTTTTTTATATTTTTTATTGTGCTTTAGGTAAAAGTTTACAGAGCATATTTGTTTCTCATTCAACAATTTATACACAAATTATTTTGTGACTTTGCTTGAAATTCTTGTGATGCATCAACACTCCCTTTCAACACCCCAGTTCCCCATTTCCGTCTGTCCATTTTTCCTGTTCCTTCCTGTCTTCTCATTATTGCTTTTGGGCAGGTGTTGCCCTTTTGGTCTGATATTCGTAACTGAACTAAGGTGTTCCTCACCACTGTTACTGTTTGTTTTATAGACCTGTCTAATCTTTGGCTGAAGGGTGAACTTTAGGAGTGGCTTCAGTTCTGAGTTAAAAGGGTGTTCGGGGGCCATAGTGTCGAGGGTTCTTCCAGTCTCTGTCAGACAATTAAATCTGTTCTTTTTATGTGAATTTGAATTTTGTTCTACATTTTTCTCCGTCTCTGTCTGGGATCCTCTGCTGTGATCCTTATCAGGCAGTTAGTGGGCACCATTTAGTTCGGCGCTCAGGCTGGTGGACTCTGTGGTACTTGTGGTCCATTAGTCCTTTCAACAAATACTTCCCGTGTGTCTTTGTTTTTTTTTTTCTTTATTCTCATTTGCTCTGGATGGGATGGGATCAGTAGATACTCAATAAATGTTTGTGGGACTGAGTTATTTCTATGTGTAACAGGTGTCCCCTTTCATTCTGTTAACATATGTTAGAAAAACAAATCTGAAAAGTTGTAATAACGCTCCTTGAAAGCAGTAACAGTTCCTGGAAACTCTTTAAAATGCTTAAAAAAGGACATATCATAAACTACTTCCCCAATAAAAGTGGTTTACTAGGGTATCATTATCATTACAGCCAATACAATTTACCGAAAGAAACGACGGGACCATAAAAAGAAAAATCGTAAATGACCACACTCCAACAGCTGCCACTCTGCTGGCCACACAGTACTATGAGAAAGTTATCTATAAATAAGAAGGAATACAACTGATAATGACTTATCAAATTGGAAAGCTTGTCTATTTAAAAAAATGTTTATTAAAATTAATAATGTTATTTTAATGATCAAATAGAACTTCAATATGCTGACAGTTTGATAAGAGAATAGGGAAGTGTGATGACTCAGGTTGCATACTGGGGAATTTCCTCTGACACAACGCAGGGATGAGCGTGCATGTTCTCCATGTTGTGACAGTATAAAAAGCCACAGGAGCATGCCAGCCAACACAAGTCCTCAGAGACAGCAGAGCACACAAGTGTCTAGGACAAGAGCCAGTGAGAAATCAGAAAGTAACCAGCTCCTGCAAACATGACTTCCAAGCTGGCTTTTGCTCTCTTGGCAGCTTTCATGCTTTCTGCAGCGCTCTGCAAAGGTAAGCATATCTTTCTGATCTGCAGAGTTTTCTTCTGTCTAAATGCTCAGATAGCAAGGCTATCCTTAATGCTTTGACAACAAACATCCTTTTGATTCAGAACAAGAAAAAAGTCTTTGCAGTCATTTAATGTTAAGCTGCAGTTTTAATTATCTAGGCTGTATCTGTATGACATGTAGTAAAGTATCAACTTTGATTAATGTAGGTATTCTATTTCTATTATTCAGACTCTGTACTATGCATATATGTAACATAAATCTTTAATTTATAGTATATCTTATTGGGCACCACAGTTGCCCATATTGTCTATTATTATTGGGCAAGATAACTCAGATAATTACACTCCGCTTAGTATTTTATTGACAAGGCTGTGACAACTACCAATTTCTGTTTGGCTTAAAGACGCCATGATAAATGGTAGATCTTCTTGGGAACCCTTTTATGAAACAAATATAGTTTAAAATGTTTATGCTATATAATTTTTATATTTTTTTATCTTAGCATTAAGGATTTTACTAAAATATAAGACACCTCTGTGCAATTCATAGATATATTACTATTAATTCTTTCTAAGGGCATTTCCCTGTTGGTAATTTTTAGTTTACCTACTTAAATAGCATTGTGGTATCACAGAAGATTATACAATACCAAGTAGAATAAAAAAGAAGTCAACAAAAACAATTCTAAAATTTTATGTAGAAAGTAATTCAGTGAATTCAGTCATGATTGTTTTTAAAACAAAGAAAGCAGTTGAGGTCAGAGGCTAGGAGAATATCAGGCTTTCAGTTTTAGGAATAGATTTGTGAAAGATATGACATTTTTCACAGTCCCCAAATAATCCTATTGGAAAGAGGGGATAGCTATCAGAGCTATGCCCTTTGATGAAATCAACCCTTAATTGTTTTTTTGTTTGTTTTCACAGCTGCAGTTCTGCCCAGGGTGGTTTCAGAACTTCGATGCCAGTGTATAAAGACACACTCCACACCTTTCCATCCCAAATTTATCAAAGAACTGAGAGTAATTGAGAGCGGACCACACTGCACAAATTCAGAAATCATGTAAGTACTTTCATAAGTGATTAGATAATTTGCTTTAGCAAACTTAGAATGGATAAATAAGTATACAACAAAGTCTTAGGTGCTAGGAAAATAAAGCAGAAAAAAAACTTTCTTGTCTTAGTGATATTTATATATAGTACATTCCATGGCTAGCCACTGAAAGTTGCTTTGGACTTAGATCTTATGCCTGTACTTGAGGAGCCACGGTTTGAATGGCAAAGAGATGTCTGCAACTTGCTAAGTATTGATCTTCATCATTTCTATCTCATTCCAGTGTGAAAATTGTCACAAAGGATGGAGAGGAAGGAAAAGAGGTCTGCCTGGACCCCAAGGCAAAGTGGGTGCAGATAATTGTGGAGAAGTTTTTGAAGAGGTGAGTTATTTTTATTTAAATACTTTATTTGTCCTGAGACATATAGTCCAAAAGTCAGCCTATAAATTTTGTGCTGCTGCTAAATATCTTTTCTTTTAGTTATCTGTCTTTTTGATAAAATATAAAGCAGCAATAGTGAATTTGTTTTACTCGTAACTAGGATGACCACATATCTTGATTTGTCCAGGAAGATCTGGGTATAAGTACGTGTCCTGTCATAATCATTAGCAGAGTCTCTTTCATTATCAGATGTGTCCTGGTTTGGATGATAAATTATCTGGTCTCCCTATTTATAATTGAAAATATAGAGCATTTCTAACACATGAATGTCTAAGAGTATATTAATTTCTCAAAAAAAAAAACATACTTTCAGGACTCATACTTCCCTCCTTATTAGAAAATTATGATTTTTAAAATTTTATTTTATTATTTTATTTTCAGAGCTGAGAAAGGAGGACAATGAAAAAAAAATTCATTCTCTGTGGTTTCCAAGAATTCCTCAGTGGAGATGCCATTGAAACTTCAAACAAAACTACTTCGATGCTTCATGTATTGTGTGGGTCTGGTGTAGGACTGCCAGATAAAAAAGGATGCCCAGTTAGATTTGAATTTCAGCAAAACAATGAATAGTTTTTTATATTCCCATGTATACTGTCCCATGCAATATCTGGGACATACTTACATTTAAAAAAATTGTTGTTTATCTTAAATTCAAATTTAGCTGGGAATACTGTTTTTTTATTTATAACCTTAGTCTGGTGGCCAGAATCCATGAGTCCCAGTTCAACTGTGCCTTGGTTTCTTCTTTGTTCCTACACTTGAGGGAAAAAAAAAAAATCAACCCAGTCATCAGCCTACCTCACAGGGATGTTGTGAGGACCTATGGAAGCACTTTAAGTTTTTTTTATGATCATATAAATTATTTTCAAGTGTAACTTATTCACTTATTTATTATTTATATATTTAAGCATAAAATATAGTAATATTAGTACATGAATTTGGAAAAATGGGAAGGGAAATATTGTTGATAAGAGTATATACTTATGTTATAGTGCATTTATATTTATTTTAAATATTGAATGATGTATATAAGAGCATTTGTTATTAGGGTTGACAGACTTATTAAATTAAAATACAGAGTGCCTGGTTAAATTTGCATTTTAGATAATGAATAATTTTTGAGTATAAGTGTGTTGTTGTTTATCTGAAATTAAAATTTAACTGTAAGTCGTACTTTTGCTACTCCTGGTCTTGCCTTGTCATTGCCTACTTTGCTATGGGGGGGCTGTGTTGGATCATCATAATCCTGAGTTAGAACTATCTACCCTAAAAGAACAGAAATTCACTAGGCAATATAAACAGTAATTGCTTGATGGTTAAAATTTACGCATTATATACAAATAGACTGTCATGATTTCATTGAAATGATCGTGTTTTTTTCAAAACCAGACTTTTTTTTTTTAACTTTAAGATACTTTTGTGTGTTCTCAGAGATTTTGTTTCTACCTTTTTAATAGCATGTCAACATAAATGTAATTATAAAACATTTCAAAAATGTAATTCCTTGTCAAAGTCATCAGGTGTTTGCCTTTGTATTTTGTAATTTTAAAATTTACTGGGAATCTCTTTGTTCATATTAAAATCATATTTTGATTTACAAAATCTAAATGCTTCTCCTTAGCATTTTGTATATTATATGGAAAATCAGTGCTCCTTTCCAGAGGTGGGTTATAAAAAGTAGTCTCTTCCATAGAATGTTAGAAATTTTCTCAACTGCCTCCTGTGTACCTCTTGACTAATAATACTGGTTTCAGATTTTCCATCAATCAGAAAGTATTTACTGGGCTGGTAGTGCCTCAAGTATCTAACGTAAATAAAGTTCTTATGTTGCTATGAGTTGGAATCGACTCCATGGCAATAGGTTTTGGCAATGGGTTATGAAGATAATAATCTCAGAGTTTGAAATCTCTAAAATACAAGAAAACAAATCACAATGAATAAAAGCTAGTGTAAAAAAAATATTTACTACCCAGTCTGATATACCAAAACTTCAGATACTGAAATTATCAAACATAAAATTGCAAATAAGTGCATCTTATTTTGAAGAAAGGAAGTTTAAAATGTGATTACAGAGCAAATATGTTTGAAAACAAAGAAAGCAAAACTCTTAAAAGTAAAAAAATATAACAAATTGAAATAAAAAACTCAGTGGATGAGGTTTACAGTAGTTTAGACACAACTGAAGAGAGAATTAGAGAACTAGAACAACTAGAACTAGAACACAGAACAAATGAAATTTACCCAGAATTCATATCATAGAGAAGAGGTAGTAAATAGGAAAAAGAAGTTAGGACACAGAAGATAGAGGAATAAGGTTTTACAGACGTCTAATTGAATTTTTACAAGTAGAAGTGAGAGGAAAGTGTAAGAGACAATATTTGAAGTGACAATAGTAGAAAAGTTTTTAGAAATGATGAAGAATAACAATCCATAGTTTCAAGAAACCCAACTTACCAAGCCTTAACTTTACTCTCCTAGCCAAAAAACAAGTATCTTAGAATTTTTTTATTTCCATTTACCTACCTCCCAGCTCATATGCTATTGCTGTTGAGCATTTTAAATCCACTTCTTAAAGGTTTCAAAATGTCTGTTTAGATTTACCTAGACATTTATCAATTCCTTTATTCTTTATTCTTTCTTGTATCTCAGTTCTTTATTGAATTAATTTCCTTCTGCAACATGGACATCCTTCAGAATTTTGTTTAGTGATGGTCTGCTGATGACAAATTCTCTCATCCATTGTTCAAAGAAAGCTTAATTTCAAGCTTGAGAGATATTTTTGCTGGAATGTGTTCAATTTATCAGGAAGATATCGCAGTTAAAAATTTCTGTGCACTTAATGAAAGAACCTCAAAATAGACAATAGATACATTGTCATTACTATCTGGAGAAACATGTAAATATGCCATCCTGGTAGGATATTATAAAAAAGTCTCAGTAATTGATTATTCAAGAAGAAAAGCAATATGGATACAGCAAATGTAAGCACCACAGATTGACCTAATGGACATACATAAGACACATCATCCAACAACTTCAACATACACATTCTTTTATAAGTACCCACAGACATGAATGGCTATGTAATTTGCAGGGCCTAGTGAAAAATGAAAATGTGGGACCCGTTGTTCAAAAATTATTAAGAATTTCAACACTCTGACAGCAAAGAATTAAACCAAACATGGGGACCTTATGAGCATCGGGCTCTCTGACAGTCACATGCCTATGAAGCAGGCCCTGCCCGTAGAACATTTATAAAACTTGACCACATTCTGAGCCATAAAACAAGCCTCAACAAATTTCAAAAGACTGATGTAGTACAGACCACATTCGCTGACCATTTTTAAATTAAGTTAGAATTCAACTATCCAAAAAATAAAAAGAAAGAAAGCAAGCTCGTATGCTTGGAAAACAATCAACTTCTAAATAATTTGTACATCTAAGGAAAATAACAATTGAAACTAGAAAAAACTTTAGGATATAATCATATAAATACTGCATATCAAAGCATGTATATGGTAGACAGAATAATGGCCTCCAAAGAAGTTCATATCCTAATTCCTGGAAGCTTTGAACACATTATCTTACATGGCAAAGAGGACTCTGCCGATATGATTATGTTATTGATATGGGGATACTATCCTGGAGTATCTGGGTAGGCCCAAAGCTATCAAAAACGTCTTTATAAAAGAAAGGCAGGAGGGTTACAGACAAAGAGAGAGATGTAACTATGGAAGCAGAGGTTGGAGTGATGTGAGGAAAAGGCCATGAACCAAGGAATACAGGTGGCATCTAGGTGCTGGACAAGTAAGAAAATGGAATCTCTCCTAGAACCTTCAGAAAGAACACAGCATGCCTACACCTTGAATTTAGGACTTCTGACCTCCAGAACTATAAGATTATAAATGTGTATTGTTTTAAGCCAGTAAATTTGTGATAATTTGTTTCAGCAGCAATAGAAAACTAATCAATATGGCCTACTACTACTGCAATACTTATAATGCTATTTACAACCTTAAATGCTTATATTGGAGCCCTGGTGGTGCAGTGATTAAGTATTTGGTTGCTAACCAAAAGGTCAGCAGTTAGAATCCACCAGTCACTTCTTGGAAACCCTATGGGGCATTTCTACTCTGTCCTATAGGGTCACTATGAGTCAGAATCCACTCAATAGCAACGGGTTTGGTTTTTGGTTTTAAATGCTTATGTTAGGAAAAAAGAAAAAGGATCAAAATAACAGAAAGAGGACACTAATAAAGATGTGAGCAAAAAATTAATTAATAAATCAATAGAGGGGATTTATAAAAGTTGGTTGTTTTAAAAAATTAATAAAATTGAGAAAAATATAAAAATTGAAAAAAGTAAAGAGGAATTATTATTAACTTAGTTTAACAAATTAAATTTGAAAACTTAGAATCATTAGGCAAATTCCTACAATATCTCTCCAAATCTAACTCAAGAATAAAACAAATCATGAAAAGTCTATAGTCATTAAAGAGACTTGAATCATATTTTAAAGAAAAGTTGGCAATTGAAACCTACCCAGTGGCTCCATGGAGAAAGAGCTAGCAGTTTGCTCCTGCAAAGAGTACAGCCTAGAAAATCTAGCAGTTTTACTCTGTCACATGGGGTTGCTATGAGTTGAAATTGACCCAACAGTACCTAACAACGGCAACAAACAAGGAAGATATGCCATGTGCATAAATTGGAAGTAAATATCATAAAACAATTATCTCTTCTTCCCCAATTAATTTATAGAGTCAGTGCAATTTTAATACCATTCCCAGTGTCTGTTTAGGTAACTTGACAAGTTGATTTTAAAGTTTATTTGAAGTAAAAAGGTCCAAGAATATCCAAGTTATTTTTGACGAAGACAAGGTGGGACTTGTTAGCAGCCTTACCCTAACAGATTTCAAGACAATGGAGTCTCCTTCCCAGTTAACTTTAAAAACAAACAAACAAAAAAACTATTGGCCTGCATGTAAAAAATTAGATAATGTGACTTTATCAGGTTGCTTTAAAACCAATGAATCTTTGTGGAAGCTCTTGAATTAATGAGGCTTTTAAAGATTTCAAGGAAGACACGTGCTCAGATACTTTTGTTAATGAAGCTTACTAAAAGGTAATCCAGGTGATCTCAAGTTCCAAGGGGTCACCTTGGCCTTTAATACTTGAAGAATGTGCTATAGGACATTTGGAGTGAGGAAGAGAGTCCTCTCTTATTTTCTTACTTGTTAGTCCACAGTGCAACCCGCTTCTCTGTCATCTGGCTCCTAACAATCACTCTGAATACCTACAGCTGCCATTCTTTCCATAGTCAACATCATCTGTGGTGTGGAGCAAAGCCTATTTTCTTTTCTTATTCCCAGTACACATTAACCCAGAAATGTGCAGCATGATAGAAATAATAAAAGATTTATGGGTGATGCACAATCAGGAACCAATGGGAAGTTCAACTCTGGTATTCAGTTTCAAGAAACATATTGTTTCTTTCTAAAGGAGATTTGTCCCTGCCTGTATTTCTTCTTAGACCTTATTGTAGAGCCACTCTTTCTTCCACAGAGTTCTGCTTAGGTTTTATTTTCATAGTCTCCTCTTTAAATTCAAAGTTCTTTGTCCTCCTTCCCTTTCCAGTCTCTCATTTTATGGTCCTTGTAGATTAGTGAACACAACAATAACAACCATGTAATTTTAATGAAATATTGATAGGAGAGGTAGAGGGTTCTTTGCAAACAAGTAGCAGGAGACTATGTAACCTAACTAGCCTAGGCTTCCCTGGAAAAATCTAAACTCGAGTCTGAGGACTCGAAGGACTGAAGGACTAAGTAGGAGTTAGCCACACAAAGGGAAGAAGGAGGAGTGGGGAAGAGTGGTCTAGACAACTGGAGGAGGTAATCTGCAGGCAAGAGTATGACATGATTGGAGAACTGAAAAAATTTCAGTGTGATTAGAGTTTGGCATGAAATAGAACAAGTGCTAACAAATAAAGGTCTGCTAAGTGGAAAATAGATTGCTCTAAAAAGCTTAAATTTGGAATTGAAAACATTTAGTGGATTTCCATCAGTTTTATTTGAAATTGTAAACACTCTTCTTCCTGGGTATCTTCCCAAGAGGAAGTGGGAAACCGCAGAGACAACTCCTAAAGACTGATCTTGGAAGCTGTTAGTGCTATTTAGAGATTGAATCATCAGAGAGCTAACTCTAGACCTTATACAAAACTTTTTAATGTATTAAATACATATCTTCAAAATGATCGGTAACCAACTCTGCAAGTAGAGTGAAGAGTTCTATACCAATCTGGTGAATCTGAGTAATAAATACTTAAAAAAAAATCTGCTTCTCAATTGCATCTTTGTCACCTCTAAAATATGCCAAATGATTTCTTCTACTCTCTGTTCTGTATCGTTAGTGTCTATAAGGTAGCAAAGTATTCCATTGAAAAGGTAATTATGTGTATCAAGTTGGAGATTTGGCTTCATATAAACAAGCCAAAAAAGTGAAAAAGAGCAAGAGATAGAAAATATGAGAGGAAAAGTGAGAGAGTGAGATGCCAATGCTGAATTGAAATTCCTTGCTTCATTTTGCTTCAAGGAAATTAAAGT